GCCAAAATTCAAAATGTATCAATAGATAATAATGAAAAATACAGAAAAAAAAAGATGAACAGTTGAAAAATACCTTAAAACATAAAACTCTGAAACGGAACTGCAAGTAACGAGAATTCACAGATATTATAAAGAACTAATTTCAGATCTTAAAATATATCCCATCAAATATCTTTCGGAGACTGCGAATTCAATAATGCAGGCAATTTTGAATCGAATCAAGACCCACATTGATACTTTCAGTATTTATATCTCAACCAAAATCAAAGTCAACATCAGTATTCTAAAACCCGAATCCATGAAACCGATGACAAATTGAAAGGTATTCTGAGTAGAGTTGCTATTCATGAGCAACATATGTATTTATCGAATTATCTGATCGATCATGCACTATAGTGTCTTAATATTTTATGTGAACAAACATAAGATTGTCAATTGGTTGAATTGTTCTTCCCATTCATTTACATTGTGCTCAGCAGAACTGGGCTACTAAATCCTGATTCGTCTATTGAAAAACCAGTGCATCCCAAGATTGAATAAATTAAAATACAAATACCACATATACCCTTTGTTCAGTGTATATCGAGAAATCCTTTCAATAAATTGAGTCACAAACTGTGACCCCTCTTCGCTAGTGAGATGAGACGCTACTTCTTTATAATAATAATAATAATAATAATAATGTTTATTGTTGACATAAAAAATCACATGAAATTTACATAAACGTTTGACAAAATTGGAATGTAAAAACAAATAGAGTAAAATTATGCATACAATTACATCACATGAAAAGTATAAAACATTTATTTCAATAAACATTAGAAGAATCACTGAAGCACATGAAGTGCTTGTGCGTGATAATTTTGTTGCTAGTAGTTTCTTGAAATCAATGAGAATAAAAATAGAATTTGATAGTTACAGTTATGGATCTTGAGATTAGTGTTCAAACATAAACATTGGAAAATCAAAAATCACTGAAGTACATGAAGTGCTCGTGCGTGATTATTTGATGATCCTGGTTTTCAAAGTAAAGAGGCTTGAAATAGACAAGGTTACATTATAGGTTACATTCAGGTTAATATGTTATAATCATCAGGTAAGTAGGTCACAGTTAGGTACAATTAAGTCATAATCAGGTGTAAGTCATAATCAGGTGTAAGTCATAATCAGGTAATATGGCCATTTCAAGTAATATGTTGAATCTTCAGTAATTATATTAATATCTGGAAGTCACTAACAGTTTAATTTTTAGAATTTCAATCAATTCAATTATTATTATCATTTGATATACTTCAAATCGATGAGGTCATTGATAATTTGCCTATCTGTTTCATGAATCCATTTTTTTATTTGCATTTTATAAGAGTGGAAGGTTCTTATTTCCCGAATAGATTGTGGTAGTAAATTAAATATTCGTGGTGCCAGAAACATGCAACATCTCTGACCGATAGTTTTCATGCACCCGGTAAGAGAAAATTTGCTTCCTCTCGCTCTCGTCTCATAATTATGCTCGATAGGTTTCAACTGGATGTTTTTTTTAAAGATTTTGATTAAAATTTTCAAACAAAATTGTTGCCTTATATCAAAAAAAATACTTTTTTTGAACAAAGCCTCACTTGAAAAGTTGGCTGGCTTCCTATAAATTATTTTAATTATCCATTTCTGAATGACATTGAGATTTTCCAGATGGCACTCAGCCACTCCACCCCATCCTAGTATACCGTAAGAAAGTTGTGATTGTACAAATGCAAAGTAAAGTATTCTCAGATGCGGTATGTCTAGAAAATCCCTCAGATATTTGAATTTAGATAGTAGTCCTCTCAATTTATTAACAACATGTTTGATTTGAAGATCCCATTTGAAATGCCTATCAATAACTATCCCTAAGTATTTCATAGAGACTGCCTCTGGAATTTGAACATCCAAATCGATATTCAGAGGGCCCATATCAGGTAAGTTATTGGCATATGATGTGAATGGTAAGTATCTGGTTTTCTCACAATTCAATGTCAATTTATTACATTGAAACCAAGCTTTGACTTTTCGAAAGTCTTCTTCTGCTTCATGTTTCAGTTGCTGCCATGACGTTGACTTGTAGACTATTGCTGTATCATCAGCAAAACTCAAAATAGTTCCTTGAGTTTCTAAGGACATCAAACTGTTGATATAGATAGTGAATAACAATGGTCCAAGAACTGTTCCCTGTGGTACTCCATAAGTTACGGCTCTCGGGTCGCCGACCACACCATCTATATCAACGTATTGCTTCCTTCCACCCAAGTAGCTCTTTATCAGATTATATATATTACCTCTCAATCCGTATTTCCTCAATTTTTCCAACAGTATGTCATGGCTCACAGTATCGAAAGCTTTAGAGAGGTCGACGAAGATGCAGAGGGCTGGTTTTTTCGAGTCTAATATATCATATATTTGTGATGTTAACATGTGTATTGCATCTTCAGTCGATTTTCCCTCTCTAAAGCCGAATTGATTAGATGAAATTATATTGAACTTATCAACAAATTTTGTTATTCGTGATTTGAGTATTTTTTCTATTATTTTGGAAATGTTAGAAATGAGAGATATTGGCCGATAATTTACAATTTTTGTCTTATCCCCATTTTTGTATAGTGGCTTTATTATTCCTGTTTTCAGGCAGTTTGGAAAACATCCTGTGGTGAAGCATGTATTAATGATGTGAGTCAGTGGATCAGAAATTTGGCGTGACACTTCTTTCAAAGTCTCGCTGCATATTTGATCCCAACCAGGAGATTTTTTCACCTTTAGATCCTTTATCACTTCTTGCACCTCAATTTCATTCGTGGGATGTAAATACATTGTGTTTTCAAATACTTCTATGTTTTCCACATAATCATCAGGTGTGGGTATTTTTTCTGAATATTTTCGTCCAAGGTCACTATAGTATTCGTTGAAACTATTGGAAATCTCTAGTTTATTGGTCACATTGGTTCCATTTTCTGAAATTATTTTATCAATTTTTGTTGTTGGTTTGGATTTAGAGCAGATTTTATTTACACATTCCCACAAGGTCTTGGAATTATTTTTATTTTTATCGAGTAAATTTTGCATGTATTGCCTTTTGGATACTTGAATGAGAGATCTCAATTCATTCTTATAATAATTGTATCTGTTTTTCAAATCTACATCATAAGGGTTATCTTTCGTTTGTTTAAAGAGATCATTTTTTTTATTGACTGACGCGAGGATTGCAGGAGTGATCCATTTTTTTCTTATTTCTTCTTTCTTTCGTTGATTTCTTACAATTCTAGTGTTTTTTTCAATATAATGTTTAAGTTCGTCAATGAATATTTTGGTCATATCATTAAAGTTCTCCATTTGGTAGACTGATTGCCAATTTTTATTCTCTAGTTCGGTTCTTAAGCATTGATAATTTATGAATTTTTTGGTTATTATATTTTCTGACATGTTATGTCCTAATCGGTTATTTTCAAGTGTTAACGCAATGGGTAGATGATCGGTTATGTCGTAGTTGAAGATATATGAATCTATATTGAAGGCTGTTGAGTTATCTTTAACAAAAAAATGATCCAAGCAGGTTTGACTAATAGGACGAGTGATTTTATTTATATAAGAAATAAAATTATATGAGTTCAGTAAATTTTTATAATGTTCTACATAGTCCAAGTCATTCAGAAGGTCAATATTAATGTCTCCAGTTATAATGTGTTTGTCAGTATTCTTTTTTTTGTCTAAATAGTTCATTAATTCATCGTTGAACATTTTGGGGCAGGTATTAGGGGATCGGTATATTGCTGTTATGGTGATCTTGTCACTATTTTTCATGACCGTAAACTCTAATGCCTTCATTTCTCCTATTTGAATGATTTTTATGGTTAAAATTCAAATGTGATCTTATATAAACCAATATACCATCATTCCTGTTTAATTTTCCTTCACTATAAAGCACATTATATCCTACAATACTAATAGTGTCTGTTTCGTACAGTTGAAAAGTTTCTTACAAAACAATTAATTCAAATTAATTTTTAAGTTGATTTGAAAATATTTGTAACTCATCAATGTTTTTACAAACACTTCTAATATTCAAGTGCAATAGCTTGAAGCTATTCTCATACATATGACAATCATTTTCAATTATATGTGTATCAACTGTTTTATTTTCGTAACACCTTATAAAAGGGTCCATATTATTTAATCAATTACATATAAATCCTTTCCAAATATTCTTTTTGTTTTCATTATTTTGATGTCTGTTATATTTTCTTACTAGTGGATCCTGATCTAGTTTTAATTACATTAGGTTTTTGAGGCATACAAGATAATTCAAGAGGTTTTAAGGGTTTCTTGTTGGAATTTCCACTATGCAGGGTCGGATCAGGGAAATTTCGGGACTTTGGTTTATCTATCTGCTCTTTGACTATATTGGTAGCTTCCTCAGTTTCTTGATTCTCTCCTTGTTTGAATTGTTGTATTCTTGGGGTGGGGGGGGGGGCACTGTTCGATTTTGGTTCAGGATACTCTGAATTATCTTCAAGTTCTAGTATGTCTTCCACTGTGTATTCCCTGTTGTCTACGAATAATTTTTCTCCTTTTATATAGCATCTATTATTATTTCCGTCGAATTTGACTCTTTTCAAATGTCTTCTAAGGATAGTATTTCTTTCTCGTTGAATCGACGTCAGATCATTAGAGATATAAATATTTTTGCCCTTCAACTTACTGCAATTTTATGAAAAGAAAGATGTACCCTTCACTGCGGCAATAGAGGAAAGAATATCCGAAGTGCATGGAGAAACATATCCAATAATTATCAATGTCTTTGTTCAACCAAAAATCCGCAGTCATTTTGAGAATTTGGGATTACGCCTTCTGTCACTGCTTGTCATAGTGTCCGCACTCTTATTACAGCAAAACTGTCAAATAGATACAGGGACTCTAGTATCAACTACCTACATTGAAAAACTCTAATCTAACCTATCCGGTTCATTTTATTGCAGAAAAATTACCAACTGGAAATGGTAAGATGTGTTCAAGCGTTAGTCGAAAAACACACCCACGGCACCAACAACTCGACCGGTTACTACCTATTCAAAATCATCGTCATTCAGTTATCTCTAAAACACCCAGAAATCGACGGAAAAATAATAGAGGACGTTCTCGACGAATTGAGAGCATCTCTCGAACTGAAATACAATCGGGAAATGTGGGATCTCTACACTGGGCGACTGTTGACGGAGATCGGCGATAATCCCCGAATTTGGACGACGGTCAGCGATCACGAATGCGTCTTTCTTACTGTACTGTCCCGGTGCGAGGAAGCTTTCGGAAAGAATCTGGATGCAATCGGGAATATTTTGAGAGAGGTGCTTGATACCGAGGGCGACGCGGAATCTAGGCTGAAAACTTTTTACGTTCTGGCGACCGTTTTCGAGAAGAAGGACGTCATCTTCAAGGATGCTGTGGGTTTGGCAGTGTTTCTGGAAAAACTTATTGAAGGTAATTTCTCTAGGTTTCAAGACAATGTCTCAATAACCAGAAAAACTTCGTTATTTGCAAGTTTCTGCAAAGGTGAATTTATGATGCAGCGTTTATACTGCGTCACTAATTCTGGAATGCTATCTGTTAGTGCAAAATAGAGTGAAACACCTTTCCATACCTAGAACAAGCAATCGATAATAAAATCTCATCATTAAGTTTTGTTTAATTGTCTGGATAATCGTATAATGCGGAAGTTTCCTTTGGATGAATTTTCACACTGATTTAGGATTATGCTTCTGCAATATATAATGAAAATTGGAATGATTGAAATCATTTCTAATTTGGAACTAGAACAATCAAGAAATATTTTGGTATCCGCTTTTAAAATGTATGACATTCACTAGCCTGTGTATCATACTATTATTACTATTATATGCTGCAATTTTATGGTGATGAGGGTGTGTTGAATTATTATGAATAGTGAAGTAAAATTAATGATGAACATGATTTTTCAATTTTCCATCAACCTTCCCACACTGATATCACTATTCATTCACCCTGGCAGTCCCCGCGAGATTAACCCGTCTAGTTGAGACTTCACACCCCTTCGTGGTCACTTTGGAGACCTGCAGAACATCTCTTTCCAAAGACTCGTTCATCCAACGAACAGCAAGGCTCTGGAACACATTGCCAAAGGAGGTGTTCCCCAAGGCATATAACCTCCACAAATTTCCACTAGCTGCTCTGATGTCTTCATTGCACAAAAAAAACTCATACGAATTATTAGTGGCATAGGTCTCTTTGATTCATGCAGACCAGCTTTCAGAAATTTTAAAATTTTAACTGTCCCTAGTCTTTTAATTTTTGACTTGTGCTTATTTGTGTTCGAGAATAGTGTCATGAAAGCGAGTGTAACACCCAGTGTAATCAAATTTAATAATTTTAATAAATTGATCAACATCACGTATGGGAAATTAAAAAACTCATCAGGGATTGGGAGAGAAAGAATTGAGAGGTAGGCGGGTAGTGAAGGTGCCCAAGAGAGTGTTCGGCCGTTTGGGGGTCCCTGGCCAAGGGCATGGTCTTAGTTGTAGTCGAGAAGATAGATGTATCTATAAAAGTAAGTAGAATTGTAAAATAAGTAATATGTGAATCCCACTAGAGAGATTTGATCATTAATTAAAATAAATTGTCACTGGCCTTTCTATGGAAATTAGATCATTTATTGACACACCCTACCTAGTCAGTCGTGAAAAGAACCCCCTTTCACGACAATAGAAATAAATTGTTTGTACTGAATAAATGTAAACATAATATTGATACAAGACAAAAAAACAATGTTTTTGTACCATTTGGAAAAACCAAATTAGCTTTCGAATCTCCTGACCAGATGGCTCCACGTATTCATAATTTGCTACCTGATTTTATTAAAGAATCCAAAACTGTTTCAATGTTTAAACGAACACTCAAGAATCATCTTGTTGATAAGTGTTATTATAGCTTTGAAGAATTTTTGTGTATAAGTAGGTAGTTTTCGTCCTCTTTTTTTCAGGATTTTTTTTAATCTCCGATCTCCTTTTCTCTTCTTGTTTTTTTGACGATTCCTATACAAATTTTGTAAGTTTGTCTTGAAGGAAAATGAAGATTATTATTATTATTATTATTATTATTATTAAATTTGAGAAGAACACCAATTCCTACCTTATTTCCCTTGGTTCTCAAGATGTTCTCTGAAAATTACAGGATATTCCTTTTTGTGGAAACCAGAACATAAAAAAAAATTCCATACACCCTCATCAACATAAAATTGCAGCATATGATACACAGGCTAGTGAATGTCCCTCATTCGGAAGTGAATTCAATAAAGAACTCGATATCAGAAAACAGATTGCAGTCAACAACGGATACAACGTTAATTTAACAGTTTTCTTTCTAAAAAACTTCCTAACAACCTATTTCGGATCATTAACTGATAAAATAAGCTTCATTTCTTGGACAGGACTTAAAAGTAGCATATGTCTGTCCAAAAAAGGCCAATTCGTCTCGTGGGTGATGCCTCGCTCACTAACTCCCTCACTTCTCTGGTACACCGTAGAAAAGTTGGTGATCTCTCCTCCCTTGGCAGTCCCCGCGAGATTAACCCGTCGAGTTGAGGCTTCGCACCCCTTCGTGGTCACTTTGGAGACCTGCAGAACATCTCTGTCCAAAGACTCGTTCATCCAACGAACAGCGAGGGTCTGGAACACTTTGCCAAGGGGGGTGTTCCCCAAGGCATATAACCTCCAGAAATTCAAGAAGAACACTAATTACTACCTTATTTCCCTTGGTTCTCACGATGTTCCCTGAACATTACAGGATATCCCTTTTCGTGGGAACCAGAACATAAAAAAATATAGAACCAATAACACGTTGTGAAGGTTTATCAAAAATAATGAAGACAAAACTTCTAAATTCGAAAAATCAGGGTTATGCAAACTCAACTGTGGATCTTGTCCTAAGGTATATATCGGTCAGACAGGTCGTACGTTTAATCAGCGCATTCATGAACAAAAGACATTTTTTTTAAGAAAACAAATTCAACATTCTCAAACCATATATTAGAAAAAAAAACATAGTTTTGATGATAATTTCGAAATTCTACACGTACAAAATAACGGAATAAAACTCAATTATTTTGAATTATTATAAATCAACAAACTCAAAAATTTTAACATTTCAATTAACTATCAACTAGACCTCAATAGTTCATCACTGTTGAATTTATTTTCTCAGTAGGTAATGATATGTATTTGCTATCTACCCTTTCAACCTAATCCGGTACACAGTATTTTAATGTAGATATTGTGCCTATTTCCCAAAGATGAAGGTTTATCGAACCTGTCCACAGGTAATTCTAATCCTTCAGGTTGGGAAAGTAGGATATATAATATTTAGGCAAGCTAGTTCATTGTACCAGTATTTCACCTGATGAAACCACTGTGTTAGCGACACATGTCGTGTGATTGAGAATTTCGTAGAAATCTCATCGTTATTTTTGTAAACATGCATCATTGAAATGGGCCGTAATTAAATTCTTTTAAAGTGTATGAAACCAACTCCTAGTGAGGTGAGATCTGCTCGATCTGTCTTTTTCAATGAACTCTCTACATTCTTTCAAAAAAACAACCTCGTCTTTCAGTAGTAATTTCATGAAATCCCTTTGTAGAAATCTTCGTGCCTTCTCTGGTATGGCACGCCGGCGCCACAGCGGAAGCGATCCGGACGATGGCCGCCTCCTGTCTCCAACACGCTCTAACGCCCTCTAACGAAGTCAAACTATTCGCTACCGAGACCCTTCGGCCTCTGTCGGACAAGTTGTTGCCTTTGCTCGTGTCGCTGTTAGAGGACGCCTCCCGGCACAGAAAAACGCCGAAAAAATTGATTTATTCACTATTTCAGGTGGTACAGGCCTTTCCACATGTCCTGCTCTTTGTGATATTTCGGACACTCTGTGTCATAAGACCTTCGCACCAAATTAACGAACATTCGCGGTGTTGGATAATTTATTAACGGAGGCTTTCCATGTACGAACGAAATTCTGCTGCTGCACTTCGGCGACACTCAACATCAACATTATTTTCGTAAACGTGCATCATTGTAATTGGTCGTAATGAAATTCTTTTAAAGTGTATGAAAGTAACTTTGAGTAAGGTAATATTTGCTGGATCTGTCTTTTTTAATGAACTCTCTACATCCTCTCAAAAGAAACCCTCGTCTTTCAGTTGTAATTTCATGAAATCCCTTTGTAGAAATCTTCGTGCCATATCTGGTATGGCACGGGCGCCACAACGGAAGTGATCCGGATGATGGCCGCCTCTTGCATCCAACACACTCTAACGCCCTCTAGCGAAGTTAAATTATTCGATAGCAAGACCCTGTAGCAGATCAAATACCGCTACCCTGTGTATCCATAAAGCGTAAAACCGTTTAGCGTTTAGACTGTTTTCTTTTATTCTTATCATCGCTGCCTGTTCGTGATTTTTATCAAAGTGTGTTCTACTTTTTACCATGGTTCGTGCATGACAAAATATTTTACAGTGAACTGTTCAGGTGACGGTACCTGTAGCCGACTTTTCGTGCGTTGGGTTTTGTTTAGCCAGATGGCGTCCCCTGGACGATTTGATTTAATATTATTGAATATTTCAGCGCAGTTTTTTCTGTTGGAAAAAACTTGTACTTGGATTAAGAGATTGTGAGTTGCTTTCGATTCCGACCATTTGCGATTAGAAAACGTCTGCCACGTTTTTGGCTTTACTTTTTGAAACATTTTACTCAAGTTGAAAGTGCTGAGGTCTTATATAATCTACAGAGTATTCCTCTCGTGGTGTGCCTGCCTTTTAGGTATGTATTACTAGAATTTTGATTACTATTGTATAACTTTATCATTTGGCTATGCGGCTCTGCTTTAGGTTGGTATATGCTTATAAGAATATTTTTGCTTGTGGATATTTATATTTTGTACTTTCTTCGTATTATGTTCACTATCACTATTCGTTTTGAATGTCTCCAATACCGTAATTTCTCGTCATGTATTATAATTTCGTGATAACGCTTTTTAGCTTGGGGACACATTTTGCAAAGATAATTGTGTCGTCTCTGGCCCCCCTGAACACCAATAAAGTGTATCGCACTGAGCGATTCAAGTCTGGAGAGCCGTTGTTTTCTTCCTAACCGAGAAACACCCACTATATCCAACAACCCCTGAGAGTCTCGCTACAACCCTTCGGCCGGTGTCTGACAAGTTGCTGCCGTTGCTCGTGTCGCTGCAAGAGAACGCCTCCAATCACAGAAAAATTAACCGATAGAATTGATATATTCACTGTTTCGGGTGGTACATGCCTTCCCTCTTTGTGTTTCTTCGACCCTATGTCACGATACCTATGCACCAAGTTAACGAACATTCGCAGTGTTGGATGATTTTTTAACGGAAACCTTTCCGTGTACTAACGAAATGCTGCTGCTGCACTTTGGCGACACTCGCCATAAATTAAAATAGCATGTTAACAAGTTCATTATGTGGAACCTCTGTGGGACCGCTGCCAAATCGATAATTCGAGATGATTTATCGGATTAAACATCTCATTCTACCCGGCATGAATAGATGAAATTAACTTTTAGTGAAGCGATATCGTTGGATCTGTTTATTTCGAAAAATTCTACATTCTCTTGAAGAAAACCCTCATCTTTCAGTAGTAATTAGATGAAATCCCTTTGTAGAAATCTTCGTGCCTTCACTGGTATGGCACGCCGGTGCCACAGCGGAAGCGATCCGGACGATGGCCGCCTCCTGTCTCCAACACGCTCTAACGCCCTCTAACGAAGTCGAACTATTCTCTACCGAGACCCTTCGGCCTCTGTCGGACAAGTTGCTGCCGTTGCTCGTATCGTTGTTGGAGGACGCCTCCTGGCGCAGTAGGCAGATCGCCGTCGATTGTTTGACGCTGCTGGGGGAGGAGGACCGCAGGAAGGAGGTGTGGCGGGTCGAGGATTTGGTGGCGGTGTATCCTGGTGAGTAGAATAGAAGTTTTATTAACGGTTTTCCTTTGCATACATCACTTACTTACATCACTTATTTTCACATGATTTATACATACTGAGTGACCTGAAGCAATCTGCTCCCTGTATCTTCGTTGCTATTTTGTATGGATGTTTCAAATTTGGTACATGGTGATTCACCATAGCTCAGTTATTTTTGTACAGATTTCAAAATTTGAAATATCATCTCAAATGATTTTCGATAAAATTTTTTTCCGCTAAATCAAAAAATACAGGGTGCTCGGAACAAATGATCTACAGGGTATTATTTGATTTTTTTAATGGAACACCCTATTTTTCATTGTATTTTGAGATTCTCCCTGAAGAGCTGATTTGATCAATGCATCACACTTGGGGTCTAGCGAGAATGATTACAGAGATATAGGGTGTTCAAAATTGAGATTTTTCAACTTTAGAATTGTTTTGTGACGAAACTATTCATTATCGGTCAAAACGGCTTTCATGTCCGTATCTCAACTTTTGATTTAATATCTACTGACATTTAATGAATGGAACAGATACAGGGTGATCAGAATTCTGAATCTTGAACCACCCTGTAATTGTTCCAATTAAATGTCAGTAGATAGTAAATCAAAAGTTGAGATGGGGACATAGAAGCCGTTTTGACCAATAATGAATAGTTTCGACACAAAAAAATGTTAAAGTTGAAAAATCTCGATTTTGAACACCCTATATTTCTGTAATCATTCCCGCTAGACCCCAAGTGTAATATATTGATGAAATCAGCTCTTCAGGAAGAATCTAAAAATACAATGAAATACAGGGTGTTCCATTAGAAAAAATCAAGTAGTACTCTGTAGATTGTTTGTTTCGAGCACCCTGTATTTTCTGATGCAACGGGAAAAAAATTCTGAAAAATCATTTCAGATTATTTCTCAAATTTTTCAAATCGGTTCAAAAATGAGTGAGCTAGAGGAGGAGACATTTATGGTGAATCACCCTGTACATTGATTTCATTTCATGAGTGTATAATTTCGCTTGTATCAGACCAAATATGACGCATCCAATTTATTCATTTGAAATACAGTTCTTTTTTCTAGAAATAACGATTCAGAATAGAATTACTTCTCCAGCAATACATCACAATTATACTTTCAATCTAAAATCTACTCATATAATTAAGATATTATAAAAAAATACCTTTCCTATCTCCCTCTTAGTAGGAAAATTATCACTTGTAATATCAGACGAGGGATAATTTTCAAAATATTCATGAGGGAGAAGAAAATCCCAGAAAATAATTTAACCTCGTGTGGCATTCGGTAAAAGAAAATCACGATAGATTGTGTTTGGAAATTAAATAATTTTAGAATTTATTTACTCATTTGATTTTCATATAGGTTCATGAATAAATTTAGTTTGGGTCGCCGTTTGGGCACCATAGTAGAGTTCATACACGGCAATAAGTGCTCTCTAAACAGTTTCCGTGTGCAACGTTTTGATAAAAGCTGGAAACTATCTTAAACTCTCACCTACCATACCAGGATATGGAATCAAGAGGTCGTCAAAAAATCGTCCTTGCAGGAAAAATATATCAATCATTTCAGTAGAAACCTGAATGTTCTATGAGGCACACCACAACTCATTCAATTAATTGTTGATGTTTCCGAAATACATGGTCTTATATGGAAATCGAGCACATTCAAACGCAATTTACTGGAACACGCAATTTTGAGCAATTTTATTTTTCGTTTCCAGCTATCCAACCTTTCGTCAAACCAAAAAAATTCTTTTATAAATAATATGCGGAAAAGAATGAGGATTCTTTCGGTTTTTTTACTTTTCCGATACGATGTTTACTTACTCCTACATTCGGAGAAAAATCTGGCGGTGCAACGAATGCTTTCGATGACCGCTGTACGCTTTTCACCCCTCTATCGCCCGTAAGTGTGCATCGGTCGTAGTTCCATCCCATAATATCATGATCATTATTAGTCTATTTTGTAGACGAGACACTTGTGCAAGTAGATATTTGTGGTGATAGTATTTTGATATAATATAATCGTTTCAGTTTTGCTTTGTTGAGACATTGTGGTTGATGATCAAGTGACAAGTGAGTACCTATATTAGGACAGTCGTCTATTTAGAATTTCAAATACGTATTTGACAATTACAGGTTTTTCTTGTGCACAAAATGGCTAGCTCGCCGCGGAGGGAAGAGACATGGAATTGATTTCGAATAACAAATGTATCGTATGCCAGAAGTCGGTTAATTTGGTGACGGCTACAGATTTATCGAAAAAAATTCATAATCAAGTCAGAGATAATGAAACATTGACAAATTTATTTTTCAAAATTCTTGGTGATATCAAATCCATACGAGTAAAAAAAAAACTAGAAGTTTATAGGTTGACATATAATGGAGCAAGTATATCAGATGTTGCGCCTTCTACTTCTCGACCTGTTCGCGCTCGTTTTGACAGGAATAAATGTTTTTTATCAAAAGAATTTGAGAAAACACAAGTTATCTCAGGACGAAAAATCTTGAGCAAAAAATAAAAATTATCACTAGTAAAGATCACGTATGCTTCGCCAGAATTGGCGGAACTGATTTAATAGCCACGGAAGTTAAATACCATGGTTTTTGCTTCACAAATGAGTGGAGAAAATGTATTGAAATGAAAATGATGGACGAAGAGACGGGAAGTCGATTGCATTAATCATCTACGAAGCATTCTGGCAAGTTCAAAGTCGATAAGGAAGTTACCACATATTCGGGATAGCCTAAGACAGCATTGCCTTCGGGTTCACCAACAGGCAAAAATATGGCTCAACAACATATATCCTTTGGCAAATATACAAGATCCGGTCAAAAGTGGTTGGTATATGGTGGAAAATGAACAGTTAGCGCCAATATTGATGACCAATACAGCTTTTCCTGAGGATATGTCATTTCTTACAACTTGCAAATGTAAAAAGGTACCATGAACTTACTTCATATTGGAATACTTGAATAATACGATTAACGAAATTTCAGGATGCAAGGGTCGTCAGTGCTCATGCAGTAAGAAAAATATTCCATGCATTGGATTCTGTAAATGTATGGCACAAGCAGGTTGCGGCAATAGCCATAATAAACAATCGAAATATCAAGAATCAATATATGATTCTGAATCAGAAAGTGATTGACTTCGTTATTGTTATCTCCAAATATTGACCCATTATGAAGTTATGTACAGTGGGGCTCAAATTAAAAGTAACGACTTCTGTGAAAATCCCTTTAAAATTTCAGTTTATGCACCCAGACTAATATCTATTCCAACCGCCCGCTGTTTCAATCACTTATTTCTTATGGTGAGTTGTGGTACGAGATAGTCAGATATCAGATATCTGAATATTTCTAAGATTTGGGGTTAATATTCACATCGCTAGAGTAATATTTTATGCTTCATACCACAGTACTACATTTTCTGATCAAGTATACAAATAATATATCTATTAATCCGATTTTTCGGACACTCTTTGTTTTATGATGATGAAAATCGGTACAGGGTTACATTGAGTGATCTAGGTTCAGAATCTATCATTAGTTTTAGTGAAAAAATAAAATACCCAATAGTAATTTACGAAATATGGGTCAATAAAATTGGTCGCAGTTGATGGCCACGATAACAGTCCAAGAATAAAATCACTTTTTTTGTTTGATGGATATTTCAAATACCTATACAACAAAATAAAAATTTTTCGAAATCGATCAGATAAGATAATACGGATTTTAGAGGCGGTGGTAAAGTTCTTAAAGTGGACACACTGTATATATAGCACGTGGTCACAGAACATAACATGCAGTGCACTGTTAAATACCAGAATGTTTGATGTGTATTTTTGACTTTTTTTTCAATATAAATGAATAAATTTATCAAATCCTTCATGATCAAAAAATAATACCTTATAATTATAGCCGAGTAAAATAACTATAGAAGTTTTCCACTTATCGATATTTCTATGTGCTTATTTATTCAACAGTATAAAATGTTATTTTGGTTTTGAAATCTATGATCTGCATGCTGATAATAATCACACTGCATGTAGATATCCTTGTTTATGAAATTCATATTTCCACTCGAAAGAGCATTTTATGTGAACCAGTTCTGCTTTGTAAGAAATCAAGAGTTTCAGTGTTTCAGTTTGAAAAAAAATCATTTTCAAAAATATTCTCAAAAATCGTTATTACTCTGAAACAGTTGAAAATAGTAATGAATTACCTCATATATTTTATGGTTTATATCAGAGTAATATGTAGAATGAATAATGAAAAAAAAAGTGGTGTTCTATTGGAAATGAGGGAATTCTATTTTCTTTCCGTATTCGTAAGTGCGCTATGCCAGATTCATCCTCGGATTTACCCAAAAATTTTCAGAGTTTTATTCAACTCAGCATAATATTGAAAATGAATGGGTTACCTGAATGAACGTGAAATCATAAAATTCAGTACTATATCTTTATTGTTTCATTACAATTTTATCGATCTTTTTCTCCTGGTTATACAAAGTGTAATTCAATTGATGGTTAGAAATATAGGATGTAGACATTTTGGGAAAAGTTCATATGAACATAATATATGCCCTGAACCTCTTAACTTCAAAGCAATAGGGTGTTGAAATTTTAAGAAAAAAAATTTCTTATAGTAACTTTGATACTGTTCTAGATATTCTCATAAAATTTGACATGCACCTACTAAGCACTGATGGCCAGTTCGTGTCAGTATGGGATGTAAATACTGGAGATTTTTCTAAAAAATAAATGCAATTCTCATTCCTTTTGCAATAATTTGAGTTACATATTTGAAAATGATGAAACCATTTTGCCAAATTCAATCAACGACTTCACTTCAATGAAAATTAGACAAAAACACATCTTACCTACAAACTACACCATTGTTTCAGTTGGTGCATGTCAAATTTCATGAGAATATCTAGAATAGTATGTCGAAGTTATCATAAGAAAATGCTTATTTTCATAAAAATTCCAACACCCTATAGCTCGGAAGTTGAGAGGTTTAGGGCATATGTTCATATCAACTTTTCTTCTCAAAATGAGCTGAGGAACCATGTCCTATATTTTTAGCCATAAATTGAATTACACCCTGTATAGTTTGAAATCAAATCCCTTCATTCCAAGATTGGATTCTAGTAATAATTAATTATATTATATCGTTCTCAACAAAGTGAAGCAGTCCAGATAAATTCCTATTCCTATATGTAGTTGCCAAAGAAGAACTCTGTCATTGTTATTTTCCACGTTCGAATAATTATTATTATAACACCTCTAGGTATACCGCTGGGTATACCCTCTAATACCTTTACAGCGCGAACCAGGTCATAAAATGCTAATGAGGGAAACGGTTCGTTCCTAGGCAATGAATAGTACATGTGCATAGACAAAAATATTTCAATTCGACCAAGAGTCGTTACTTTTAATTTGAGCACCACTGTACATGCAAATTTTTATTTTCACATAAAACAATGACTTTATCTTATCATTTTGAGTAAACTAAGCTAAAACTCCATCACATCCCAAATCCATTTTTTCTCCTTTTTTTTACAGTTTTCCACAATGTTGCTGACTCGAAATAATTTTGGTAACGACAAAAATATTTTGTATTGATAGATTGATTGAATAGCTGCTTTTTATTTCCCAACAAATCAAATTGTTGCATGTTAACCATCCTAAATAAGAAATGATTTCGTTCCACCTACTCATGTCATTGACAGACATTGACTTGCTGGTGCCCCCCCTGAGAACATTTTTTTTTGAAATTTATGAAGTGATCAAACATCCCACAGAAAAAATAAAAAATCGACCCGAATGCTTATTGCACCGTTCACATGGTTTATTCGGATCCTTTTCTTGAAAAAATGACGGGATACAATGTTATCGTAGTGGGAACGCAAAAAATATTTATTTAAAAATGCATTTTTGAGGAAATCGCGTTTAAAGTTCCAATTGCTCCATATGAAACAGTGTATTTTAGAAATTTCAATATGTATTTGAGTTCCTTATATATCTAGTACAACATTCCGGTTTGGACCAAAAAAATTGTCTCGTTTTTTCCTTCAATATAGTTCAGAGAAAAAAAAATATGAAATTCACATTTACCCCTTTCCCCACCCCCCTGCAAGGACGAATTTTTGACGACCTGTCCATTTCATATTCTGGTAAGATAGGAAACAGTTTGAGACCAACTACAGCTTTTATCAAAGCATTGCACACGACATGGTACAATACACTTTCTCAATTTATGGTAATTCATAACTAACAAAGTTTCAATGATTTTTGAACGATTTGCGAGAAAAACGTCATGACAATGATTGCAAATTCAGGTATATTCGCTATTCAATTTTCATTGGCGGTGATCACTGAAAATCAATATTGTAACCGTTGACAAGGCCTACTTTCGAAAATCATTCATAATCGATCAAACTTTGTTAGCTTTGAAAGCTTATATATGAAAGAAAATGTTGATTCTCCATCTTTTGAAATTTTCATTTTCATATCCTCTTGGATGTTCAACAAATATTCGATGTTCGCCGTGGCAAATAGCCAAATAAATTATTTTATTCATCAAATAGTTCAGTAGCCTGGCCGACCCTGCCGTCCCTGACTAGCCGTCACTTCTGAACATGTTGGTGAAAGATAATGTAATTTCTCAATTTCTAAGAATTTTTATTTTCATTTTCTCTTTTTGGATGTTCAACAGATATAATTCAGTGTTCGACGTGGTCAATAGCCAGGCAAGTGGTTGTTTGCTGTTGAATATTCAGAATGCATATTCTTACATATATATTTTTATCTAAAAGATAATGCAAATTCTCAACTTCAGAAGATTTTATTTCAAATTCATATTGTGTTTGTTCAAAAGATATAATTCAATGTTCGTGGTGGCATGTAGCCAGGAATTTAGTTGTTTTCTGTTGAATATACCAAGAAAGAATTCATATATTTAGCAGATAGAGAATGCGAATTCTCAATGTATTTCTTAATATGTTATATCTGAGAATAGTCCTTTTCAATACTTTCATACCCAATCAATGGGTTCAAACTTGAAAGATGGAAATTACCACATGTACCTCTAATCACAGAATCGTGATTGTGTTTTCTCAATTCAGAATTTCTTTCCACGACCTGTACGATGGATATCAATTTATCATGCACTATAAACAATATTCTTCTTATTTTCAACTGTTATTTTCAGAAATCCTCAAGAGACTGGACGATCCGACCGAGAAAGTTCGCTTGTGTGCCTTGAGAAACTTACCTGTGATATTGAGGAACGTTCCTCCGGAATTCAAGAGCCCTCACTACAAGGCTCATCACGAATTGATAATCGACACGCTCCTAACACATTTCGACGATGACGATGAACAAGTACAAGAACTAGTTTATGGTGAGCGTTTTTTTAGCTTTGCTCGCACGTTAAAATACCTCGATCATCAATCCGCCTAATTAATATACACTACTTTCGACTGCTATAGCACAAAATTGCTTTTGCTTCACTGTGTTTGATACATCAATGAGATACTTCGTATGTCGCCAATTTTATTTCCGTATCTGATGTCACAATGACTCCATTGTGTTATTATTTCAAAAAAATCTCATCGCTCATGGAATGTCAAAGGACCTCACACCGCATCAATGGGAAATTGGCTTTCGGTGAATTTGCTCGAATTTTCGATAAACTGTAGACTTTTTAGTGCTGATTAAATGTCTCTATTGCATCAACGTTGTTAAATCAATGGTATAGATTATATTGGGTGATAAAGTTGACTTTTTCAAAATTCCAGATGAAAATTGTGAAGACTCCTTTCAGAATATCAAAACCAAATTAACTATGCATTGATTGTTTCGATGATCCATACAAATCCACTATGAAGTATAATAATTCCTGCTCAGTGATCTTCGGTGAATTGAGCAGTGAAATTTCATTCATGTTTTTCAAATTATACAGATTTTATACGAGATGTTTCATTCTTAATAAATGAAGTCACATCTATGTTACTTATTATTGGCATCCATATGACTTACCTCTTGAACAATTCATTGAGAAACTCATATATTTCATGATGAAAATTCTGCAAATACGTGAAATATACAGAGTTGATGAAAAATTATTGGCCTTTGCTAATAATATCTCAGGAGTACAGATTCTTGTGGTACATTTCTTTGGCTCTTCTTCACATTGACATTATATTTGATAAGATTGATTTAAACCATTGAATGTGATATATTTTGAATAATATCATTATCAAACAGTAGTTATTATAAGAGGTATGTAATTGAAGTGATAGTGGGATCTTGGAAAATGCCTAATAAGGGACAAGAACAATATATAACATTTATAAAATTATACTAATATTCAATCACAACAGAAATTCTGTACCTCACAGAGTGTATTACTTTCGTGTTATATGACATGCGATTTTGATTCCTCGAAGAGGATTTCACATAATTCATCCTCAGATTCTGGATATACAGAATTTCAGGTCACCTTGTAACCGCTCTCGCTCAAATGGCTACTAAAACGAAATTACTATTCATAAAACGAATTCATTTCTCGAAATCAAGTAGTTGAATGTATTCGACTTCTTGAATAGTTTCTTGAATACAACTCGTCATACTCAATTCAAGAATATACCCTCAAACACCCAAGTAAAAGTATCAAACAGTGATTTTCAATGATTAATTCCATGTTTTTTTAGTTTGTATGGGTTCATTGTTACAAGAGTCGGATGGACATCAAAATCATGTAGAAAATATAGGAATAGGTAGTTAAAATGCAAGTTTGCAAATGGTACGAGATATAGCTATTGGGATATACCACAGGTAGAATTGGCACCATTGTATATATAAGATACTGTATATCATCACGATGAAAATAAATTTCAAATGGATTCAAATACGATTGAACTTGGATTTTTACGAATAAGAGTTCACTCAATTCACTTCAATTACTGATCGCATTCAATGCCAGTGTGGAAGACATTGACCAAATCAATGATGACACTTAATGAAAAAACTAATACACGAAATTAATCATTGATAATACTGTTTGATACTTTTTTATTTCACTTATGTTTACTTTACTTGATTGTTTGAGGGTGTATTGTCGAATTGAGTATGACGAGTTTTATTCGGAAAACTGTTCAAGAAGTTGAATACATTCAACTACTTTATTCCGAGTAACAAATTCGTTTTATGAATAGTGATCTAGTTTTGGCAGCCATTCCAGCGAGAGCGGTTACAAGGTTACCTGAAATTCCAGCATTTGAGAATGAATTATGTGAAATCCTCGTCATGGAATTATAATTGCTTGTCATATAACACAGTAATGCACTCTTTGATATATATATATGTCTTGAATATATGCACTCATTTTAAAATCAGCCTGTATAGAACTTCTGTTGTAATTGAATATTAGTATATTTCATTATCTATAATAATTTTATCTATTGTTCTTGTTCCTTATTTAGCAATTTCCAAGATCATTCCACTATCCTATTATAATACCTGCAGTTGACAATAATATTCAAAATATACCACATCGAGTGGCTGAATTTATTCTTATTGAATATAATATCATTATGATAATGGGTCGATGAAATCTGTACTTCTGGGATAATATTAGGAAAGGCTATACATTTTTCATCCACTTTGTATATTTTACGTATTTGCAGAGTGGACTTTCATCATGGAGTGAGCGAGTTTCTCAATTAATTGTTCAAGTTGTAAGTCATATGGACGCCAATAATGAGTAACATGGATGTGACTTTATTGATTGAAAATAAAACATCTTGTATATAATCTGTATGATTCAAAGAATGCTAATATCATGAATTGGGGTTGATATTTGTATACTAAAAAACAATGAAACTCCACCGCTCAATTTTCCGAAAACCACCGAATTATTCGCTATATTCGGACACACCCTGTATATCGTTAGTATGTGCAGGAATTATTATACTTCATAGTGGATTTTTATCAATCATCGAACCAATCAATGCATAGTTGATTTGGTTTTGATATTCTGAAAGGTGTCTTCACAATTTTCATCTTTTCATCGAAAATTCGAGCAAATTCACCGGAAGCCAATTTCTCATTGATGCGGTGCGGGGTCCTTTCAAGCAATGACAGCTCTGTCTAATAAATGAGCATTACTTGAGAGGAAATCAGACTGCTACCAGATAAATAAATCAAAAATGTCGCTGTTATCTGTTACAGCCGTAGAAAAATCATAGTGTATAACTCGCACGGGATGCAAATTTTTCTACGGCTATAACACAAAATTGCTCTTGTTTTACTGTGTTCCATACATCAATGAGGTAATGACTCGATTATTCCATTGTGTTATTATTTAAAAAAAAAACTCATCGCCCATGTAATGTCAAATGTCACAGTTCAAGCAATGACAGCTCTGTCAAATAGATGAGCATTGATTGAGAGGAAATCAGACGGCTACAAGACGAAGAAATCAGAAATGTCGCTGTTGTCTGTTACAGCCGTGGAAAAACTAGTGTATAACTCGCACGGAATGCCAATTTCCGAATGATTCCAGCATTCGCCTACGGCACCATCATTCTGTGCCCCTAAACAATATACCATACCTTTTGAACTTCAAATTGAGACTAATAATTTCCAAAGTGGGAAAAAACATTAACATATTCAAATTGAAAATGAACAAATTCAAATTGAGACTAATCGCTTTCAGAATGAGAATAATCAAATTCAAAATGAGACAAACTGGCTATAAACCAATCCAAATTCAAAGTAAATAAATTCAAATTGGAACCAATCAATTTCAAATCGGAACTTTTATTCAGGGTGTCCAGAGATAAAACCGACAAAACTTGTGGGGTTATAGGGCCTGCCAATACGATTGCAGTATGCCACATATAAATGTCCAAAAACTGCTTCGTTTTTTAATTTTGAATCTGTTTACCAATTTGCATGTGCTTAATTTTGATTTGAAATTGATGTCTCAATTTAAAATTGGAACGGTATAGTTCACAAAGGCCTTTTTAACCGTTCAAAAAGATTTTTCAATTTGGGTTTCCTGCAGGAAACCCCAGATAAACATTCCTTATTGCTTATTTATTATTTCCAAAAGTTAACCATAATGAAACGATTATGGAGTTAACCATCATGCCACATGCGTTTCATTGTGGTTAACTTTCGGCATCGATCTATGCTTTCGGAAATAGAAATAAGCAATAAGAAATGTTCATCTGGGGTTTCAAAAAACCCAAATTCGAAAATTTGCGGTTAAATATGCCTTTGTAAACTGTTTTCATTTTCAGAATCTTCTCCTACTATACAAGGTGTCCCAGAACAACGTACCATAAATTCTACAGGGTGAACTAGATACCAAAATAGGCGGAAATGCACCATTGAGTCATGAGGGGGCGTTGGAGAATAATTTTATTTCCAGATTTTCTGGAATATTTAATAATTCTTTGAAAGTACTGCCTTCAAATTCTCAGGGCAATTTACTATCGTGAATGTTCAGGGTGGTTGGAATTCGAGGTTCATCATTGGGATCTCGTAAACCGTAAGATATACAGGGTCGGTTAAATGATGGCAAAGTTGCCCAATTTCATGCTGATCACAATGTCGCCTCAAAAGTTTGGATATACTGAATACTTCCGAAGATATTTGAAAAAAACCGAATATCCGCGATTTCGTTTTTATTTTTTGTGATTTTCCACTTTTTCTGCTCTATCCAAAGGCATTAATAGATTCGTGTTCCGACGTTCTGTCTTCAAGGAGCTATCATCAACTTTGTTTTTTTAAATAGTCGAAAATAAATTTTTTATCCCCGAAAAACTCTTATTCCAATTCTTAATCCAACGACATATAACACTTCGCAATTATATTACGTTTCGGACAAAAAAATCATTATCAGTGTTATTTGATGATGGTTACTAGGAAACGAAACGTCGGATCCAAAATCTGATGATGACAACTTGTAGAAAAGGAAAGATGGCTATGAAAATGTCGAATTTATTCTGGTCTATCTCTTATAGTAAAAGCAGAAAAAGATCATTTCTTGGAATTAGAAACTTGGAGAATAACTTTTTATTGAAAACTAAACTAGAGATAGACCCAGAGATAGACCAAAATGAATTTGACACTTTCGCAGTCATTTTTCCTTCTATACAAGATGCCGTCATCAGATTTTTGTTCTGACGTTTCGTTTCCTCGTAACCATCATCAAATAACAATGATAATGATTTGTTGGTCCAAAACGTAGGATAATTGCAAAGTCTCATAATGTCGTTTGAGTCAGAATTGGAATTGAAGTTTTTTTTTGTAAAGAAACATTTTTCCCACCATTTAAAAACACAATGTTGATGATGGCTCCTCGAAGACGAAACGTCGGATCATGAATCT